CACATGAACATCTCTTTAATCCTTTGTAACAAGATGACCTGGCTGCCTTTTAGAAGCAGCACATTCCAGCTGACATTCCAATCAATATGCACGACTCTGTACTACAACACTTAGCCAACTTTCTGGAAGATGAAGTCATTTACCTAGCAATCCAAGGTCTTATGTTTGAGGTGTAGGATTAGGTTTCCTTATTGCACAGACGATCTTAAAAGGCACAGTAAGCTTGCACTATCCTACTCAACAACTTCAAATGGTAAATTTGAGATACTTCCAACAATTTTTTTATACGTAGAACATGTGATGGTCTAACATTGTGCTTTCTTCTTCTAAGCTTTCATGGAAAGGCCTATAAAGGTATTGCTCTTCACACTCCTTGAAACTAATGGCACGTTTTAATCTGGCAGCTCCTGCCACGTGCAGAGAATTTTTAATAATGAAAAAAATCCCTATGGTTTTTGTGATAGAAATAGCACTAAAGAATTCTAAAGTGCACCGTCAAAGCAAATATGTTCTTTACCCCTACTGCCTCATAGAAGCTGCTCTCAGGGAAAAGAAGCTGTACCACTGTATTTATAACAAAAAAAATTTGTACCTCCAACATCCCTCATTCCAGATGGTATTTTATCAGCTGGAACATCAGACAGTAAGAATTAGGTCACGCTGACTGCGCTGACCTGTTTTGAGTAGACCATCAGCCTTAAGCATGTTGCAACAAATGTCAGCCTGTCCAGCCACGGCTTAGTTCCTTTGATGGCTGAGCAATTAGTAAGAAAGAAATTTTTCACTACTAAAATAATTTCTAGATACTTTCACTGAATGTATTTATCTCCTTTCCCTCCCAGCCATCAGCTGTGTAGTCAATTGCAAGAATCTGCAGCCATCAGGTGGTGAAAACAAGCAACTGCATCTGACTATTTCTGCAATGCAAGTAATGTTCCTGCTCTCTTGGCAGAAGAATAAATAATGCTCAGGATTCTGAAATGAAGACCCAGGCTTAAATAAACCAGTTACAGAGTAACAGGACGAATGAAAACATACAGATGGACAGGAAATCTGATCTTGTTATCATCAGCTTATAGTTTTAAGGAAGTACTCTAACTCCTAACACCACCCTCATAACTTTCAGCAGATTTTGTAACAGCTTATTTAATATTATTTAGTTATATAAAAAGCCATAAACTCATGTTTCACATGGGTGAAAATGGCTTACTCCTCCTTCCTATGTTTTCAAGTTTCATTCAGCCATCCTTACTGACTCTGTTGATCTTCCTTTGGATAAAACAGAGTACAACTGGATTAACCTTATGCATCACTTGGCAATCACAAGTAGAACAGAGCAAAAGATTCCTAGAGATCCATCCAGATCAGCAGCTTTATCTCCATGACTCCTAACGCTGAGGATAACCTCTTTTGTCTTCTATTCCACACAATGTTCAGGTACCTGATGTTTTTCACACAGTTACGTAAGAGAGAATTTAGGTTGTTTTCTTAGCATGAAGCTTTTTCAGCAAAGCATGCATCACTCTCCTCTTAATCCTACCCCTCCTGTTTCTTTTTTCCTACCCTTCCTGTTTCACCTGCCACACGTAACTTCAATCTAGAGACTATCCCAAACAGACATAGTGTTTATCCCCAGGATTTGGCTCCGTGATGACAATTCACCTACCTTTGGGAGGTGCTGGCTGGATGTTAACAACTGGCTGATGCTTTGGCAGTGGCACAAGTGTTGGAAGTGTCTGAATAATGATTGTTTTAGCTGGGATGCCAATGTTAGCCTGAGCCTCAGGTACAGCAGGCAAAAGAGGCTTTGGTTGTATTGATGGCCTAGACGCTGTCTGACCACATTTCTTCAGAGCCTTCACAGAATTATTCACTAGGAAAAGAAAGAGACTGAGTTGGATCAGAAATTCTGAAGTGAAAAATTTCAGTAGTGATAACGTGGCCTTTGGTATGTTTCACTGTCCATCTATATCTGTTAAAACTGATGCATCTATAGGTGTGGAATCTAAGTAACTCAATCTCTCGTACCGGACCGAGAAGTGACGCCAACAATCGGTTTCTTCTCTGCATCTCCTTCAGAGGACGCAGGGCTTCTGGAGCTCTTGCAGTAGAGGGAGATAGGAGACAGCTGGGAACTGCAGCTGAAATCCATATCATCCTGCAAACAGAAAGTAGATGAGACTACTACTTCAGAAATAGATAAAAGTGACTACAAGAAATTCAGAGTACAACTGTCTTTCATCACAGGTGTTGCTACTGAAGGAAACAGGAGAAACGCTTTCCTCTGCTATCTTATTCAGTGCCAAGTACCACTGACAACCAAAGCAGCACCACTCTATATCAGCAGAACAAAAGGGTGGAGAGACCAGCAACTGCTAGACTCAGACACCTTTAGAAGGTATTTTGTTTGGCAAACAGGCCAATAAACACAACTGAGGAAACAGAACTGAACATGCTTTTTTAGGAATGGATTACAGGACTAGAAGAAGGAAAACATAATTGAAGGAAAGTTGTTTTTGCAAGGGTTGAAAAAAAAATAAAAAAATTAGTTTCTTTTTATGCTATGAAGTTAACCAGATAGATAAATCAATAGGTTTTTTTTGCTTCTCTCAGCTGGGCCTGAATTAATCTTGCTATCTATGTTACATGGAGGTTTCTGCATACAGGCACATTCTGCACTGGAGAGTCCGCAGATGATGGAGAAGGGACTGAACAAGTTGAAGGGGCTGGTGATAAGGGCTCCGTCTTCACATTTGCATCTGCAAAAGATAAAGAATTTTTCTCTGTACAAGTTCTTTACAAGGGGAAATCAGTGAAGGACATCACTCTATACCAGCTATTTAATTCCCAAAGCAAGACACAGCAGAAAATTGTGAGATTAAAGATATTTAGATTGTAGGGCAGCTCCTACCAGCTGTACCCATGCTACAGAAACACAGCGTAACTTCTCACCACAGGACTAGATCAAATAGAGTCACAAAAATTACCAGTACCACAAAGCTGTAACAGCTCACCCTTGTGGAGCAGGATGGAATTGTCATACCCGCAAAATTTAGCTAGTAAGTTACCTGAATAAGAGTGGCTTGTAATATTCCAAAGGTCTGAGTCCCAGGACATCAAATCCAAGTCAAAATGAAAGTTACACAGATCATTTTCCTGAAATGACTGTTCAGAAAGAGAAACAAGAGAAGAAGGCAATATACAATGAGACCATCAGCTGTTACGTTCTCATTCTTATGTTTCTGGACAAGCAAAGGGACTATCACTTCAGTTGCCTTAAGAGGGACATTCTCAACTGGAATACATGAGATGAGGCTTCTTTTAAAGCCTGGAGCTGTAGGATAAGAGCATTTCTGTTCAAGAATACCATTGATTACCATTGTGTTGTCAGTCATTTGTAAAGCAAAAGTTCTAAGTGAAGTCACTGAACCACCTTGAATAAATTACAGGATAGGTGACTCGTTGCCATCACTCTCCTTCACCTTCATTGGAAGATTAATGCTCTTTCATCATCAGATCTCAAAGCACCTTGTAAACAAAAATAGTGTCAGCATCAGTTTAACGAGAGAATGAGAGACACAAGGAGTGATTTGCTCAGGAATATACTGACCATCTCAGAGATGAATCAGGCCTCTCTACACTTGAATAAACTGACATCACCACGTTCTAAAACCAGAGACACTGGCTCCACAATCCAACAGGAAAAAAAAAAAAAGGAAAATAAAGTCACCTCCTACACATCAGTTACTGTACAGCCCTTGAAACAACAGCCATCTTTTTGCTTCACATTTTTCTGTTGCTAAACCTCAGCTCTCTATCAAAATGTAACATTCCTATCAGTACTAGCACAAAAAACAGAGTGCTCTCTAACGCTGTACATACAGTTTATATAAATACACAGGTAGGATTTACTTGCTAAAACCTTTCCTGAAAACATATCTTCCTTTAAATTCTCAGCTTGCCTCATAAAGGGTAGTTCAGAAAGTCCACAGATCGCACAAAAATGGATATTTGCAGGCAAGGGTGAAGAAAAAGCTCATCAGAGCACACCAGGAAAAGGAATGAGCAGAAGCCACCGCTCAAGCTGTGCAGTAAGAGTCTCCCACGTGTAACTGATGCTAATATGCTGAAAAGCGATGGCTTGGCCTCAAACAATCCAGCAGTTCCCAAGTTTTCCCTAGTGCCTGTCCTACAACTCCTGTAGGAATGCTCATACTACCCGGGACTAATGTGAGATAGCACACAGGCTGTGTGTTAGGCCACAGCAGACAGAAGAAAGGCAGAAAGAGGCACAGAGAGTGGGAAATCCACGAGGCAAACGCCCCGGGACAGAGCCAGAAGGAGGTGTGACCATACAGCGAAAAGCACAGGGTTTAATTTAATGCGTTGGAGTCAAGGTTGAAGAGAAAACCCTCAAACAGACAAACGCGTGCCTTTAGACGCCACTGACAGTTCACGAAGGGACGGGCAGCCCCGCCCGGCCCGCAGGTGCCCGTGACGCCCTCCAGCCGTGGCCACACGGCCCCGCAGCGCCGCTCTCCCCTCGCCCCAGCGCCCCGGCCCGCCGGTACTCACGTCGGGCTCGTCCCTCGAGGCGCGCCGCGACTCCGCAGCACCGAGCAGCTCGCCCAGCTCCTCGCCCAGCACCGTCTCTGCGGGGAGATAGCGGCCTCAGCACCGGGTGCCGGCACCGGGTGCCGAGCAGGGAGCCGAGCTCCGCCCGGCCACGCGCCCATCCCGGATCCCCGGTCACCAACCCCTCCCGGTCGCTCTCACCCCAGTCGAGGCCGCCCCCCGCCGCGGGGAGCAGCCCCATGGGCTCCCACTCGGCCTTCGCCGCCGCCATCGCTTCCGGCTTCCTACTCCCGCACACGTATACTTCCGGCAGAAGCCCCGCCCCCTACGGCGGCCGCAGAAGGACATACTAGGCCCGCCCCAACGCGCTCCGCCCCCACGCTGTGACCACCTCCCATGGAGCACACGCGGACCTCGGTCGAGGGCAAAGGCGTTTATTGAGAGCCCGTTGGCACGGACCCGGCCCCAGCAGCAGGCCGGGGACGGGAGGGGAGCTACAGTCCGCTTTTCCACGTCCCTGCTGCTCTTTAGCGGCCTTGCCCACGCGTGGGTGTAGACTAGGGCAGGTACACAGCTCTGCCCTCCCAGCCCCCGAGTGCAGCTTCAGGCCAGCAGGCAGCGAGGGTCTGCAGGGCAAAGCGAAGTACAGTCAGGGCTCGGTGCTGGTGGGGACAGTGCTTCTGGCTCCGCTTTGCCTGCAGTGAGATAGGAGAAGTGACACAAGTGAGGTGGCTGGGCTTATGCTCCCTGAGTTTTCCATCCAGATAAGCCCATGTGCTGCCCAGAAGCAGTGGATTTTTCATGCACACCTTCCAATGTGCTGCAAGCACTGTGCTGGCATTCACCTTACAAGGTGGAGTCATAGGCTGCATTGGTGAAGATGCCTGGTGCCCCCAGGTCACTGGGAAAAAAACATGAAGAGTGTCAGCTGGGGGGGAAAAAAAGATAGGAAACATCATACTTGCATGAGAAAAGCACTCATGTCTTAGCCGTTTCCCCCCAGGGGCTGCACTCTGCAGAGACTCCTTGAAGAATCCTTGTATTCTGAAGCACACCAGTTGGCACAGCCTCATCAGCCCCTAGCTATGCTCCTACTGCTGTACAGGCAGCTTCACGCATGCAGGTAGAGGTGATGGTAGTAGGGAGGGGTCCACAATAATATCCACCTGTCTGCAGTTAGAGACACTCCTGCCAAGTACAAATCTTACCTGGTGGGGTTCAGGAGCTTCTTCTTCTCCTCTGAAAGCGGTGTTGAAGTGTCCATGGGGAGTGCAGATACAAAAGAAAGAGTCAGATCTTTTTAGTGAAGGTTTGAGAAGCAGCAGTAGGATTTGGCAAACCAAAACAAATTTGTCGTGCAACCCCATTCCATCTTATCCTGGAATAATTGCCTTTTGCCCCTTCAACAATGATGGCATTTTTCTGTTTCTGCCCCCAAGTTGTGGCTGATGCTCTCAGCAGGACCCAGGGCCAGGGAGATGCTGCTGGATTGGGCCAATCCACAGCACATAGCATGTGGAATGAGACAGTCACATCTATAAATTCTTTTGATCAACACTCTTCCCTTGGGGCTCTGTAACCACCTGGTCTGAGAGTCCCTAGCCAAAGCACCCCCTGGCTACAGGTGTTTCAGTACCTCTGTCGCTGAGCTGCTTGGCAAGCAAGGCGATGAGCGTTCCGGAAAGCACAAGGCCAATTGCTGCCAGGGCACTGGTGCTGGTGTAAACCAGAACTTGTTTCAAAAAAGCAGCAGAATCCTCTGAAAAAGGCCCACAAACACTCAGGTTGTTATCAAAGGAATTCCACAGGGACAAAGATGCCGGGTGCCTCCTCCAGCCTCAAGATGTACTGCAGGAGGCTGGGAAGTACAGCCACACCATACCTTCACAGACTGGGGGATGCCTGGTCCAGTTCCCTGTGGCTGAACACCTGAGCATCTCTGCTCCCATCTGGATAAATCCTTCTTTGCAGGAAAAGCTGCAAGTGGAGTTGAATGTGAAGTTCCCATGTGGATGAGAGCAGTTGAGGTAGCCATGGCTGGGGGCATCCAGCACTGGACAGCTGATCGCTGCAGGTAGAGCACAGCAGCAACACTGATGAGACAGAATTGTTGGCAATGGAATGAGGGCACAGGGGCTAGAGAGCCAGGGGACGAGCAGGGGATGAGCTGGGGTGCTCAGGGAAAAGGGATTCTGGGGAAAGCAATCTGCTAGCACAGAGCAGTGGGCAGTGTCCTGGCAGTTCTCAGAAGAACTGGAGATTTCAGAGAGTCTGCCTCCTCATGATGCTATGTATTCACTGTGTGTAGCCCTACTGGGGTCACAGAAAGTGTCAGGATAAAGGCAGCAATGGGGGCACCATCACTGCATCCTTACACAGCTCCATTCCACTTGCACCGCTTGAGTGCACAGGGCTCAGCTCCTCTATCTCCCAGAGGAGAGACTGGGGATATATCCTGGGGAAGGGGTAGCTCTTCATCAGGGTACACAGTCCAGGAGCAGATGTGACCACCACAGTTCTACCTTGGCATTGCGAGGTGTCCCCAGTCCAGGTTCCAGTGGCCATGCACTCACGGCTCTGTGGCCCAATCAGCTCAAATCCTGTCTGGCAGGAGAAGTCACAGATGGAGCCAAAGGTGAAGTTCTCATAGACATGGGAGCAGTTCAGCTCTCCATGCTCTGGAGCAGTAAGCAGTGAGCAGGTGATGGCTGAAAAGAAAAAGAAACACATCTCAAGCAGGAGCCAAGGAACAGCTAGGCTTCATCCTTGGGATGAGAGGCCCAAGAACATCCCAAGGTGAACTCCAGGTGAACGGCTCTTTTAGCAGCAGCTCTACCTTTGCACTGTGGGGTGTCCCCAGTCCAGGTCCCCATGGCTGTGCACTCATGGCTCACTGGCCCCATGAGCTCAAACCCTGGCAGGCAGGAGAAGTCACATGTGGAGCCAAAGGTGAAGTTTCCATGGATGTGGGAGCAGTTCAGCTCTCCATGCTCTGGAGCGCCAAGCACTGGGCAGGTGATGGCTACACGAAAAAGAAGCACACCTTAAGCAGGAGCCAAGTAATTGTGGGATTGAACTTTCGGGATCAAGAGAATAAAGAACATCCTAATGCCATCCCCATACCCGTTACACCCCAAACTCTAGCAGCAGCTCTACCTTTGCACTGTGGAGTGCTCTTGCTCCAGGTCCCCATAGCTGTGCACTCGCAGCTCTCTGGCCCTATGAGCTCAAACCCTGACTGGCAGGAAAAGTCACATATGGAGCCAAAGGTGAAGTTCCCGTGGAGATGTGAGCAGTTCAGCTCTCCATGCTTTGGAGCACTCAGCACTGGGCAGGTGACAGCTGCAAGGAGAGCAGGTCTCAGGGCAGATCCTGTTCATGCTAGCAGGAGCACATCTCCATGTCTGGAGATGGAGAACCCAGAAGTTCTGGGTCAATTCAGACTGTGCCTGCTAGGTGCAGGGGATGGTGTTCTGGTCTCAAGGAGTGTTAATGCCTGGACAGGGAAGTGTTGGCAGACCCAGTCCCTTGCTCTGCAGGGCTGTCATTGCCAACTCCTTGAGGTGGCCATTATGGACAGAGGATTTTCACTACTGGGACACGATGGCAGCACCTCAGTGATGTGCCAGCATGTGTCAGAGTATCAGGAGTGCACAGAACAGCACAACAGAGTTGGGAGCTGCCTTTTGGATGCAGGCATAGGGCAAGCTGGGGGCATGGCCCTCACCCCGAAAGCTCAGGGCTGATGCAATGCAGTGGTGCTGCAGGCACCAGTGCTGTCACCATTTGTGGAGGGGGACACTGGTGAGAATCATGGGCCTGTGTGTGCATGTGGTGTTGGGGCTGCTGAGTGACAACTGACAGGCTGAGGACAGCACAGGGCAGCCCTGTGGTAATATCAGTGACACTATGAGCTCTAGCAGCAGCTCTACCTTTGCAACGTGGAATGTCTCCAGTCCAGGTTCTTTTAGCCATACATTCACGGCTCTGCGGCCCCATCAGCACAAACCCTGGCTGGCAGGAGAAGGCACACGTGGAGCCAAAGGTGAAGTTTCCATGGATGTGGGAGCAGTTTACCTCTCCATATTCTGGAGCACTGAGCACTGAGCAGCTGATGGCTGAAAAGTAAAAGAAGCACATCTTAAGCAGGAGCCAGGGAGCTGCAAGGCTCAGCTGTTGGGATGAGAAGGCTAATGCAGCTGAGAACATCCCAGAGCCAATCTTAGGCCAGTGACATCTTTACCAGCAGCTCTACCTTTGCACTGTGGGGTGTCCCCAGTCCAGATTCCCATAGCTGTGCACTCATGGCTCACTGGCCCCATGAGCTCAAACCCTGGCAGGCAGGAGAAGTCACATGTGGAGCCAAAGGTGAAGTTTCCATGGATGTGGGAGCAGTGTAGCTCTCCATGGTCTGGAGCACTGAGTACTGGGCAGGTGACAGCTGCAGGGGGAAGAGGCACACTTCAAGCAGGAGCTGGGTTACTGTGGGTTTGAACTGCTGGAACTAAGAGGTTGAAGAAATCCTTATGTCATCCCAAAGCCCTAGCAGCATGTCTACCTTTGCAACGTGGAATGTCTCCAGTCCAGTTCCCCGTGGCCATGCACTCATGACTCTGTGACCCCATGAGCTCAAACCCTGGCTGGCAGGAGAAGTCACATATGGAGCCAAAAGCGAAGTTCCCATGAAGGTGGGAGCAGTTCAGCTCTGCATGCTCTGGAGCTCTGAGCTCTGGGCAGGTGATAGCTGCAAGAGAACAGGTCGTAGGGCAGGATTTGGGTGGAACTGAATGTAGGGATTAGTGTTTAATCCCAACCTAATAAACCCAAATTTAAGGTGGCAAGTCTTTGATCTTCCTTTCTTACTTCAATACCAGATGGCAAGCCTCACTTTCTTGGACACAGCAGTAGCACTGTTGGTACAGTGATTTTTGCTCCACATGAGAAGCAGTTGCTGCTGTACCAGGACCTGGTTTATCCCTGGCACACTCTGGATCACAGTTCCATGGCAGAAGACTATGAGCATCTTACACAGAGCCTGTTTCCCTACAGGATGCCCACCTCCCAACCCAGCACCCAGGCGCACTGGCTCTATCTTTGCCATAAGAGAGGGAGCCTGACCAGGCGCCCTCAGCTATGCACCACAGCCTCTCTAATCCTGTTCTCTCAAAGCCCTCCTGGCAGGAAAAGATGCACATGCAGTTGAAGGCAGAGGCTCCATGTGAGTGGGAGCAGTTGACACAGCGTCCTTTAGGATCCACCACTGCAGGACAGGTGATAGCTACAACCAGATGCAGGTAGAGCTGGTGAGGATGGGGTGAGCACAGCCATGTCATCCCATGTCCCTGTAGTGCCCTAGGGCATGTCCAACCCTGCTGCAGCCAGAGCCTGTGCTTGGTGTTGGAATAAACCAAATTGTCAATGCTCACTAACACAGCTTTGTTATCAGTTTTGGCAACCAAGTCAGCTGATTATTTGCAGAAAAGAAAAATCCATCATACATCAAGCAGGAAAAAACAGCTGTGCTCTGGAAAACAAGATGTGGGAACTTGGAAAGCCAGGGGCAGGAAAGGTCAGGGCAACTTGCTGTATGGTGCATGGGGGGACTTCCACAAAAATGACATCACATCAGCTGTTGGTGCCTGCTCCTTTATCTGCAAAAATCCCTGGGCCACTGGCCTGCCTAGCACTGCCTCACTAGGAGATTGCCTTGCAATTAGCGCTGCCAGTTTTAAAAGTGTGTGTACTGCTAGGGCTGTCCATACAGGAGATACCCCTTTGTGTCCTGTACCTGCTTCAGGTCTTGTCACATCCTTGTAACCACACATAGACCTGTTATACAGAGCAGATGGAGCAAGACTCCACATAAACCCCAAGCCAAAACAGCTCAATGCCTCTGGGACACCAGCAGCTACAAGCCCTCAAGATACCAACAGGAAGACTTTCTCTGCATAACACACCACAGCTCAGTTCTTTTGTGGCTTTCTCCCCACAGTGGTTTCCTGCCTGCCCTGTTCCACCCTAACGCACCGCCTCTTGCCCTTCTGCCCAACCCAGGCAGGGTGCACCCCTCCCCCAGCCATGTGACAGCTCCCATTTCTCTTCTTTAAGTCCTTCTGAAGCACCCAGCACCTTCCCAAGGAGCAGTCAGTGCCTCTAGCATGATGGAGGTACCAGGACATCAGCTGTACACCAACACAAACAGGGAGTGAGCATCTTCATGTGGGAAATTGCAAGGGTTTGCTTCATGTACACACCAGAATGCACTGTGGGAGTGATGCTGAGCATCAGTGCCATACTCGAGAGCCCCAGACCATGGCAGTGCCTACCTGTGCATGTGGGGGTCTCCGCCGACCACTGCCGATCAGCCAGGCACTGCAGCTCATCCGCACCTCGCCGTTCAAACCCTTCCGAGCACCAGAAGGTGCAGGTGGAGTTATATCTGAAGTCTCCAAACGGATGGCTGCAGTTCATGTATGCTGCTCTGGGTTCGAGTATGGGGCACTGCACAGCTAGGAGAGATGCAGCCACAGCCTGTCAGGAGCATGAGAGACCCATGCTCTTTGCTGGGGCTTCAGCTTTCCAACAAAAGAGGGGTATTTGGGGGATATACAGCCCCAAGCACCATCCAGGACAAGCACCTCAGTCCCAAGCAGAGCCTGCTGGGTACTCACCATTCTCACACTTGTCCCCTTCAAAGCCGGGGTGACACTCGCACTTGTAGCTCTGGATGACCTCCACACAGTCACCATGCAGGCCGCAGATCAGGGGCTGGCAGGAGACTGTGCACATTGACCATCATCAAGGGGTACCCGGTCCTGCTCCCAGCCCTCCCCGTGTTCTCAACACTCACCCTTGTAGCACAGTGCCTTCTTCTTCTTCTTCGTACAAGGCTCATCGTTCCACTTGCCTGCCTCTGATGACCGCTTGATGTAGATCTCCACGCAGTCCTGGTTGAACTTGCGGTTGTTGGGCTCTCCAGTGGCCCAGTTGGCCGCTTCCTTTGTCAGTGCTTTCTTGGTGCCCACCCAGGTCCAGATACCTCTCAGCTTGCGGATGCCAATCCAGTAGTATTTGCCATGATAGGGCAGGGTGCGATTGAGGTACTCAATCTCCTCCTTGTTCTGGATGGCCACCAGGTCGGTGAAGAACGTCTGGCAGTATGTCCTGGCATCGTCCCACTCATAGTCCTCCTCACTGTAATAGTATGTCCAGGCCCCCACCTGCATCACCACGCCTGCGGGAGAGGATGTGGTCTGGGATTGCTGCAGGAAGATAGTGCAGGTCTGGGAACAGGGTTGGGGGACCTGAGGCTGGTACCAGAGCCAAGAGCCACCAGCAACCAGAGGAAAAAAGTAGGGGAAGTGTGGATGAAAACAGTTCAAAGAGATGTGTAAGAATCTGGCATGGCAGAACAAGCCATGGTGGGGCAGAGGAGCAGCAGAGAAATGAGGAAGGTAGGAAAGAGCTGGGGCTCCCCTCACCATAAAGGTCTCCCAAAGAGTTCCTTAAAACACATTTCCTTCTACAAATGTAAAATTGCTCCACACGTGTGGTTTTGTTGTTTAGTTGTTTTCCCTACTTTATTTAATTTACAATTCTACAGGAGGGTCAGTTTTGCACAAGAAAGAAGACCAAGCATGCCCCCATGCCCAAAAGCATCCTCATGCCATACTGCATCCCCGATCCAGAGGTGGCCCAAAAAGCTGCAGAACACTGCATTGCAAAACACAGCCTTGCAGAAAGCAGTTCATGTCTTGGCCATGCCCACCAGGGAAGGCAAAGCCCAGATTAACTGGAACCCACGCCCAGAAGTGGAAGGCACTTTGATGAAATACTGCTTCTGTTTCCCACCACAACTTGATGTAATCAAGAAGTTTTTGCCACCAAAAAAATAAACCTTCCTTCTCCCTAAAGCAGGTATGCCCACAGCTGCAGAAAGCAGCCCAAAAGAAAGGTGGGGAGCAAAGTCACTCCAAGAAACAGGCCTGAGGTACCCTGTCACAGGAGGGCACATCTTACACTTTCATTGTGAAGGCAAAGGTCTAGGCATTGCAGATTAAATACAAATGCAGGGCTTCACAGATATAACTAGGGCTCTAGCTAGGCCAGTTATCATACATTTTCCTATGCAAAATCCCTACAGCTTGTCTGGTTTTCCTTGTGGAAGATCCAACTACCTGTTTCGTTAAACAAAACCAAGAAAAACGTGCTCTCCAAAAGCAGCCCAGCTTCTCAATTCCTAGGGCTACCAGGGCACAAACTTAGGGCAACTGCTGGGAGCCTGCCCTGGCCCCTACCACCTCTCCTAAGAATCCCAAAAAGGACCAGATCCCAGGAAAGACCAGGGAGCAAATCTACAGCCTACCTGTCATGCAGACACACTCCTGCCTCATTCTTCCAACTCATGCAGCCCACAGACAGCTCCCATGCCTCCTGCCCTGTGCAGCATGGCACAGTGCTCGCAGCACTCAAGGTGCATCTGTATTTTTGTTTTCCTTGCAGACCTAAATCTCAGTCTCCTCCTGACACTTCTACTTTTGCCTCTGCTCTTCTGCTGGTTTGCGAAAGGTCTTTTGTAAATGGACCCAGACCACACAGGATTTTTAGGACAGAGTACATTTCTCTCCCCCTGCAGTGCCAGTATACAAAGCAAAGATCCTGCAGGCACCAAAGCCAAGTGTCTGCTGGGCCCCCAAAATAACTCTGCTGCCCTTCTCCAGTTTCCCCTTCCCTCAGGGTCATGGTGGCACCTTACCACATGTGAAGACAGCGATGCCCAGGCAGCAGACGCCACAAGAGCCGAGAGCCCACATCCTCCAAGCGCAGTGCTGTCCCACAGTGGTGCCCTGTGTGCTGGGGAGAAGGGCATGAGCATACATCCTTGCCAACTGCAAGGTACCCACCCACAACCTTCCCTGCCCCCTACCCGAGCAGACCCCAGCTGTCCCCGCAGGAAGGAGCAGGCAGACCTACCACGGCGGTGCTGCAGGGTGCCTGCTGTGCCTGGCCCTTGCCCTGGGCAGGCAGCGCTACTCACGCTTCCTGCAAAGTCACAGAGCATCACTCCCTCCCCTCAGTTTCTTCCCCTCCTGACCCAGCCCTGCTGCCAGCCCGCATCCTGCCCAGCTGCGCTCCCCACTTCCAGGAACCTGCTGCCAGCTGGAGACTGAGACCCCAACGAGGGGCCAGCCTGGTGTGCGGCCACCCAGAGCCCTCCAACCCACCATGTCAGTGACAGCAGTGAAGAGAGGACAGAGCAGGATGAGGTGTGTGGACCTGCACCGGACAGAGCAGGAGTGTGGTGTGTGGCTCCCGGATACCACTCAAGACCAATTAGTTACACAATGTATTTTCCTGTTTCTGCTTTTTTAAATCTTTATGAGAAAGGTCCAAAAGTGGAACTGGGGATCTTCCCCCCATTAAATGTCCTTTATGAACATCTACTGATGCTTCAGGAAGGTGCACGCTGAGTACGGGTGTATCACCATATACCTATTTTTACACATATTCTACTTCTAAGTAGTATCATTTTCGCAAGGTTTTCTGCGGGAATTGCTCCGCTCACTTCCAGTTAAAGCCAAGGCAGAAGCCCTTTGGGTCACATGCACATTCCAGTTCCAGAGAAATAAGTAATGCTCCAGTGGGACTCATACAACACAAAAGGAGGAACCCATCTACAAAATCCATAACTCATTACAGTGCCTTTCTGCCTGGCCAATGTAAATGAAATTCTGTTCCCGTTCTTCGTCATCATCCTTGCAAAATGTTCTACTGCAATTCTCCCTCTTTCTGTACATGCAGTAATCCAGCAGCATTTGCTTTACCAGCTCCCGTGCTTGGGACAGGGAATGACATCCCAGTGGCAGAGAAGCTGAGGGGTGGCTGCTGGGCAGGGGGACACCTTGGGAAGCCATGGTCCCCTGAGAGGGATGAAGCTGCTGCTGCACTAGGACAGTCAGAGGGATGTTGCTGGATGCTCAGCCCCAGGGGAGGGCAAGAGGAAAATGGGCTGTGCCCCTGCTGGTTTCACTTCTGCTGGCACAGGGCACAGTGGGGCAGAACAACAGAAAAAAAATATTGCATTTTGTTGCTACAAATAGTCCCTGGTGTTGTAAAAGCAGAAGTGAACTGGCTGAGACCTGGAGGTGGCCACTGCAAGAGGAAGGACGCAGCCTTGAACCCAGGGGTGATGCTTTGCATGTAGAGGAGAAGGATACACATGGCAGAGGGGAAGGAGGATTGCAATCAGTTCTGCAGCTCTCCCAGGAGTTAGATAATCCGGGGGATAATCCTGTTTTGACTTGCTGGTGTTCCAGGGCCAGCTTCTGGGCAGGCGTCGGCACATGCTCCTCATAGGGATCCTGCAGGCTCCTCTGGCATCACGAGACTAGTGGGTTGCTCCCCTGCCACTTGGAAGGAGCCCCTCACCATGCACACTGCTCTTGTTTTTGGCAGAGGCCCCATCCCTGTGTGGTACAACCCTCTCCTCTCCTTGAGCAATATTCCCTGCAAACCGCAGAGGAACCGACTCACCCTGACGCAGCCTGCCTGGAGCAGCTGCCTCTGGTGATACCACAGGCACCTTCCTGGGCACCTCCTACTGTCCCCAGGGCATGGAGACATGGGGCATCCCCAAAGGGTGCAGTCATCGGGTGCAGCTCTGCTCCCTCCTTCCTCCCATGCCACCCCATTTCCAGTCCCTACACTGAGCCAGGATGCTTTGGAGGCACCTTTTGGGCACGGGCTGGGGATGGCTCCCTTTCCACAGTGCCACCATGGGGGTTTTTGTCCCCCAAATGGTCCCGAGCTTGGAAGTGCCTCTGAGTGCATCTCGCCTTGGTGCCCCTGCAGTGTGGCAACGGTACAATCTTTCTCAGAATCTGAAAGTGATAACAGGTTAGCCACAGGAAGACATGTTTACTGAAATATCACCCCAACCACGGCAGGGCGAGATGGTGGTACTGATTTGTTGAACCAGGATGGGGATGTCCCCAAATGTCCCTGGCATGCCCAAGGTGAAACAACCCTGGCTGCGAGGTGCAGTGGGGTTTGGGGACCCTGCCCACCACACCGTGTCCCCCTTGCCCTATTGATACCCATCAGAGCCATTTCTCTGACCCTGGAGATCTCAGCCTTGTGCCTTCACCCTGCAACAGAGGGAGAGAGAGCCACATGGCATCACTGCCATCTGTGCACCCCTGAGGCTGGCTCCTGTTGCCTGGCTGCAGCAGCACGTGCCAGGCATGGGTAAAGATTTGCCAAACAGGATGGTGGGGGTGGAGATAATGGAAACTTATCTCAGTGCCGGTGCAGTAAACAAGTGGCACTGCCTATCAGGGTGAGTGCAGCCTGGGGCATCCTGTCCCACACAGCCCTAGTCATTGACCTTATGGTACTGCCTTGTGTCCCCCAGACATCACCAGTGCTACTGCAACAGTCTGGTTTAATGCTTTAATGAAGTCGTCTTATTTCAAGAGGGCAAGCCCAGAGGTGGATTCTGCTGCCTGTCCCCCCAGCACGTTTTTGCCTCCCTCTGCCTCTTCCCTTCCCCTTACTCTGGCTCTCTCCCCAGCAGATCTGGCTCTGCAGCCATGCAGCTCTGCAAAGAGCCATGCAAACGAGCGGATGAATGCTCTCAGCCATCAGAGCCCTGCCTCGGGCTGGTGCCAGCCCCCCGGAGCAAACAATGTCCTGTACTCCTGCCAGGAAATCCGGAGGCAGCCCGGGTCGTGCAGCGAGGCCAGCTCCATTTTCCTGAACACAGAAGCATCCTTGAGCATGTTCATTCTTCACCTTTTGGCAGCTCAGGGCTGAGCTTTCCTCTCCTTCCAGCCTCAGGCAAGCGACCTGCCTTGTGCTTCCTGCCCTCTTGTGTTCAGTGCCAGCAGTGCTTTGATGCTTTCAAACCCTGGGACCTTGGTTATTTTTCTGCTTCTGAGGTCCTCTCTCCTTGGAAAGCGCCCTTCTCCTCACTGCCATCTGCGTGCAGAACTGAGACACCTCTCCTGCATTCTGGTCCTGCTGCTTGTCTCAGAGTTGAATGGTTCCTCTCTCAAAGTCCAGACTTGTGGGGTGAGACTCTGCAAAGAAAATAACTCCACCTAAAATAATGGGGGCAAGAGTGTCCCCAATATTTTGCTGTCATTTTGAAATTAATTCCTCCTTCTCCACATTCTAGCTTTCCACATCTGTGGTTTATTATAGAATCACAAAATCATTTAGTCCAACCCCAACCCATTCCCACCATGCCCCCTGAACATGTCCCTCACTCAGTGCCATGGTTCTTGAACACCTCCAGGGATGGTGACCCCACCACCTCCCCAGGCAGCCTGTGTCAGTGCCCAACCACTCTTTCTGAGAAGAAATGTTTCCTAATAATACTTGTGCTTCAGACCCCTCACAGCTCTGTTGCCCTTCTCTGGATGCATTTAAGAACAGGACCTTTCCACTCCATTCCATCTCCTGTCCCAAAAGTAGACAGACTCGTTGGCAGGCTTTGCTTTGACAGGACAAGGGGAAATGGTTTCAAACTAAGAGAGGAAATTAGATTGGATATAAGGAAGAAGTTTATTTCCATAAGGGTGGTGAGGCAGTGGCACAGATTGCCCAGAGAGGTGGTGGGTGCCCCATTCCTGGAGACAGCCAAGGTCAGGCTGGATGGAGCTTTGAGCTCCTGATGGAGCTGTGGGTGTCACTGTTCACTGCAGGCCAGATGGCCTTTAAGAGTCCTTTCCAACTCAAATGGTTCTATGATTGATTCTATCCCCAACTCCACTGGGGATCTTGCTGGCCTAGACCCATGCTGGGGCTCGCCCCCACCTCACCAACACCATACCTGGCTCCTGGAGGGATGCCATGCACAGCAGCAGCTCAGGCCACTAACCTCTGACTGCCAGCCCCTCCGCTGTCACACAGATGTCACATAGAGGTGTCTCAGTGCTGTGTGGGATCTCCGGGCATCCTTCTGCACTGATGTCTGTCGGCTGACATGTGAGGTTGCTCTCAGCAAGGGAGACACCGGCCCCAGCGGTGCCACCCGCAGCGTTCGTCCCCGCTGCCGCTGGGGTGTCTGTGGGGTGCTGGGGGCACCTGGCACACCTCCATTTGTCCCTGGGACGTTACTCTCAATGATGAGCTGGAGCAGGCCTGCTCCAGGGAAGTCCAAAATGACCACTCCCCAGCACACCGGCTGCCCCGAGCAGCGCTGCAGGTGCTGATAGCACTGAGGGTTGACGAAGCGGGCCACGTCCTCGGGGCAAGTGAAGAGCCCATTGCCGGAGCAGAAGGTGAGGTGCATGGTGGCAGGGTCCCCACTGGCTGCTGCGTCCAGGTGCCGCTGTGCTCGTGCCCATTTCCTCTCCAGTGAGAGCACGTTCCACGCATCGCTGATGCTCAGCCGCTCGTAGGGGATGCCCAGCACCGCCCGCTCCAGCGCCTCCAGCACCACGATCTTGCCCCTCACCTGGCCCAGCGTGGGCACCTCCTCCCGGCACCACAGCCGACCTCTGCTCTCCTCCAGCAAGCATCGCTGGAGCCGGGCAGCAAAGCGGGTCCGCGGGAAGAAGGGGAGCTCCTCCTTGATGCGCATCAACACAGCCTCGCCAGGGTGGGCGCGGAGGAAGCGCAGGGTGCGACGCAGGACTCCCCGCAGGCTGACCCGCTGGAAGGCACACAGATGGTAGACACGCAGCTCACCCCGTTCCAGCTTGCAGCGCACGTCCAGGAAGCGCACGCCAGCCGCCAGCTGGGCCTCCAGGCCCCAGCTCTGGCAGCGCAGGCGCCGGCCACCAAACAGGCTGAGGGAGTCGTGTGTGCCAGGGATGGAGAGGCGGGAGAGCGGCAAGGCGTCAGGCAGCGCTGCCATCCAGTCGGGGCAGCAGGCAGCAGGCTGGGCCGTGTTGTCGAACGCCGCATTGCGCTGGCCCCGTGCATCCATGCTGCAGTGAACACGGGCACCCCAGCACCGGGCCAGCCTGTGGTGGTGGGGTGCAGCCTGTTGGATGGGGT